GCTACAAATTTACTTAAAGAAAAACAAAAATTAAATAAAATTAATTAAAATAAAAAAGGAAAGAAGAAGATGTGAAAGAGATAGCACAATGACAGCTGTTAGAACAAAACTAATTTTTCTGGTCTTTTTTTTGTCGTTACATAACTTCTTAAATAACAATTTAAAAAATAAAAAAGTAAAAAGAGAATTGAATTGAAATACAAATTTATCTTTTTCAAATTCATTTTTTCGATTTTAAATTAATCGTAGTTTTTTTCTCACTTTTTTTTTGGCCTTTTGTTTCTTCAAAATTTCGCACTTTTTGGTTTTTTCCATTCATTTCTTTCTTTTCTTTTCATTCTAAAATTTTCATTCTTTTCTTTCTTTCGTTTTCATTTGGTATAGTTTCAGATATTTTTGTTTTTTTTTTGTTTTTTGGCTAAATTTTACAACAAACAAACAAACAAACAAATGAATGAATTGAATGAATGAATGAATGAATTGAATGAATGAATGAATGAATTCGACTAATAAATGAATTGAATAAATGAATGAATTGAATAAATGAATTGAATGAATAAACTGGGTGAATGAATTGAATAAGTGAGTGAATGAATGAGCAAATGAATGAAATGAATGAATGAATGAATAAATGAATTTGCTCGACGTACGTTTGGAAGAGAAAAAGGATGGAAGCAGTAAAGATGAGGAAAATGAAAGTTTGAACTTTTAACTAACATATATTATTAGAAATAATTAGAATAAGAAGTATTAAAAATAGAAATTAAATTGGAAATAATTCATTAGAAACAAGCAAAAATAATTGGAAAATATTAGAAATTCATTAGAAATAATTAAAATATGATTGATAACATTTTGTTTAATCAATAATTACATTTATTATAACGATTAATTAAAACTATCATATTTCATACAACAAAATTACACAATACGGAAGTAATTAAGTAAATAAACAATCATTAAATATGTTAGTAAGTAAACAACAGCAAAAATAGAAAAAAATAAATAAATAAGTCATGTAATATGAAAATAATTTGAATTGAATTATTTTAACAAATACAAATATATTTGAAAAATTTCTTTCACATGTAGCAATGTTTGCATAAAATGATGTAAAAGAAAAACAAAATTGTCAAATGAATAAATTTTTGTAAATACTTAAAGAGATGAAAATTTAAATAAATACTCAAAAAAAAATTTAATCATAAATGTTATTTAAATTTTAATATTGAACACAAATACTTTTTGTTGAAGGTAAGCTTTTAAATGCAACAATTTGTCGTATTCATTTCAACATTTCAATTAATTGATTATCAATTTTGAATGATTTCTGACATTTTATTTCATAATTGGTTTTCTTTTTTTTTCCTAGCGTAGCATTATATATATATATATTTGAAATTTTTGAAAAAAATATCATAATTTAATTATTTGAAAAAAAATTTCATACCTTAATAATTAATTAAGGTGTGAAATCAAAGTGAAAAAAAAAATGAATAAATCGGAAAGAATATAAATAAAAGCAAAAGGAAAAAATGTAATTTTTGTTTTCTTTTTCAATTTTTTCCAATTTTTTGTTTACATTTTTTAATATGTGCATAAATATGATTCCTTTTCCGACTCCATCTAAATACGAATAGGTGAGAAATAAAGTTAGTAGCTTTCTTTTTTTTTTTTAATTTAATCGAGACAATAAAGTTAATTACTAGTTAAACAAATTTTTTTTTAATCAATATATTTCAAATTAAGTGTCAAATTCCATCATTACGATGTGCTTTTTCTAATTTTATTTATTTTATTTTATTTCGAAATTCCGCTCTTTCTCATTCATAAATTTCATTAATTTTTTGATTCCCTTCATTTTTTTAATCTTTTGCTTTCCTTTAATTTTTTAAAATTTCTTTAATTTTTTGATTTTTTATAATTTCACATTTGTCATTTCATAATATTTTAGCTAAAATTTTCTTTCCCAATCTATTAATTTAATTTATTTTTATATTATCATTTGCATTATAATGCAATGAAATGTTCGTTGCTATCATAAAAAAACTTCACAATAATATTATTTAAATTGTTTAACAAAAAATATTTTTTGAATGCAAAGTATGCCGAAACATTAATTCAAATTCAAATTATTATAAGTTCAGTTTTTCAAGTTCAAAAAAAGTTCAAATTTTTGAAGCTATGAAAATAAAAATCCACCGCAAGTATATTTTTAAATAATATGAAAATTATATTCGCAAATAGTGGAGAAATGATAGTGATATGGATTAAACTGATCAATGGGTAACTTTTTTTTTTTTTTTTTTTTTTGTAAAAAGTAAATGAATTTAATGAAGGAACTTGATTAAAACATGCCATTTTTTTTGACAGTTGTTAAGATTAAATGATAAATGGATTTTGAACAAAATGATCTTTGTACTATTTCTATCATCAATATTATCATGTGACATACAATAATGTTATCAAAAGATGATGTATTTTTAAATATAATTAATCGGCAATTGTTAACAACTGTGAATTAGGTTCAATATTATGATATACTGGGAATTTATTATAACTAATTGTTGTTGCAATATATCTAAAATAGATTTAATTAATTAGCATTTTTCTTCCATTGTATGTTTTTTTTTCCAGAAATGGGACAAAAGAATTCGATTAATAAAAGCAACAAAAATGATGAATCTATCTCAATAACTGGTAATTATTTTCTTTTTTTTATTTCTAATTTTTTTTTTGTTTTATTTTTGTTAAAGTTATTTTTCACTAGTAGTAAAACTAAATTTTTTGTAAAAATTTGAAGTAAATAATTCAAGTTAATAATTTCAATTGAAAAATGGCAAAATATTATTATGTTTAATTATTACTTTGATATTTGTTAAAATCCCTTTTTTTTAATTTCAAATTATTTCAAAATATGTTCCAAAATTTATTTTTCATGACTATAACTATAACTTTGAAATATATTAATTATCATGAATCATAATAATCATTTATAACTTTTGAATCATTTTTCAGGAACTGAAACATTTACTAATGAATGTCACGATATAAAAAGTCCGGCCGTAAATGCAAACCACAGGTAAAATTATTTATTTAGTTATTGAGTAATTATTTATTTATTTATTTTTTTTGTTTTTTCTTGAATTATGATAAGTGTTAAGTGTTAAATTCATACAATTTAAATTTAAAATAAAGGAAATCTAGAAAATTTTTTTGAAACATTTTAAAATTAAATATGGAAATCCGAATTAATAAAATATAATAATCAATTTGCAGAGGTATAATTCGTGATTGTTTTGATAAGGCAAGCGGTATCACAGCAGGCAGAATTATAATGCGAGTTAATCAACAACGCCCTGATTTTAAGTATACATTCTCTTTTTTTTGTTTATTTTTTTAATTTTCATTATTTTTAATTTTAATCATTCTTAATTAATTATCATTGATTGCGACATTCAATTATCCCCTTAATTAGGTCCGTTTTGAAGATCTGAATTTCTTAATTCTATATCAATTTTGTATCAATCTTGTGAAAAATTTCTCGTAAACTTTATTTTTCGGACTTCCTAATATTGTGAAATTTAATGTTATTTTTTCGTAATTACTTCAACTTCCTAATGTTACAGAAAGTCTTTCCAAGTTCACCGTTTTTTTTTTTCAATTTGAATATGCTTTACAATGAAATCAATCCTGTCACCAATAGTAAGATCGATATTGTCAATTGTCATCAAAGATATCAGTGCTATCAATTAATTACAATTGATGAACATATCATTGTCTTTTCAAATTACTATATATATTGGATTTTAGAACGTACAAAGATAATCTTACACCTGAGCAAATTGATGCATTCACCAATCTTTTGAATGATTATTTATCAGCAGTTGTGGAAAACATTGATGATATTGAAAAGGTATGTATGATTAAATAAATAACTAGATAAAATCATTTCCACATAACAATTTTTGCCAATATCTTATTCATAATCTTTGATTGAATGGTAAAAAGAAATGTTTTCAAATCTCTCTAAAATTTTAATTCTTCTAACTTTCAAAAAACTGAGCAACATATTAATTAATTGATAACACAAGTTGATTGAAAATCAAAAAAGGAAAATTAAATTATCGGGAAAGAATTCCAATTCACGATGTTCATTTATTGATGATTTATTGCAGTATACAACATTTAATGCAAATTAATTTAACAAATTAAAATTTCAATATTCTGTATTAATTAAATTAATAAAATAAAATTTCAATAGTTGGTGTCAATTCAATTAACAAATTAAAATTCTAATATTTGCTGTTGATTCAGTTAACAAACTAAAATTTCAATGTTTTATATTAATTCAGTCAATAAATTAAAATTTCAATGTAGGTGAAGGAGCTATCAATGAATTATGGTTTAAAACATGTCGGTTTGAGAACAAGTGGTTTTAAACCTGATTTTTTTGCTGCATTAGCAGATGCAATCGCAACAGAATGTTCATTTTTAAGTGAAACAGCCACTACAAATGCACCAACGAATACTTTTAAGGTTTGAAGAAAAATAATTTTTTTTTTCAAATTTTAGCTTTTCTTTTAGTAAGAAGTTTAAATAATAAAAAAGTAGAATAAGGAATAAATAAAAAAAATCTAAAAGTAGAATAAATATAGAATAAGGTTTAAAGGTATGGGGAAATATTGGAAGCAATGTTGGTTTATTTATCGTTTTTTTAATTTTTAAATAATTTCGGAATAAAAAAAGGAATAAATTTAATTTACCGAAATTTTATAAACAATTTCAATCATCCGACCAATTACGAATTATGATTTTAATGATTGTACTGTTAAAATTAAAAAAAAATAGAATGAAAGATACTGTTTTATCGTTTTTTTAAAAAATTAACATCTCATGCCGTTTTTCTTTTTTTTGGAGTATATTTCTAATCAGTTATTTCATACAGGAAATTAATTCGTTAATTATCAATAGATGTATTTTAGAAATTATCAAATTTGTTAAATTTTATTAAGGCTTGGACAATCCTCGTTGATTTGATGTTTTCATCTGTACGTGATGGTTTCTATCAAGAATTACGTCGACAGCGACGTCACTCACCAACACACCTGAAAAGTTTACGAGAATCAAGTACTAGCATTGAACAAATTCTCAAAAATTCGGGGAGCAATTTAAAAGATTGCATGAAGTTAGGTAAGAATCGTTTAACAAAATTTTTAATTCATTCTTTATTTATTAAAAGAGGAATCGCTTGATTTTTTTAGCCATAAAGTAATATCAATCCACATGTAAATTCCAGAGTTAATGTAAACAAAAAAGAAAAAATTGTAAGTTTCAAAGTTCACGTAAACAAAAAAAGAAGAAAAACAAAAAAGGGAAAAGATTAGGATTTTATAAATAAAATCATAAAAATCTAATCATTATGCTATGATAATGCACTAATGAAAAAAAGAAAGAAGTGAACAAAAAAAAGGTTCAAAAACTGACTTAAGAAGTAAAATTTTGAATAGCAATTTTAAAGACTAAAATTTTTGGATTTTTAAATCCTTTTTTTTAAGGTTCTTTCATCATACATTTCAATTCTATATTTCTAGCCAATTATCGTTCAGAAAACGATCACCACACCAACAAGGATCAAGCCATAACCGCAAGGAAAATATCGTTAAGTAAACCTTTTTCAACAACCAGTATTGAGGAACAGGAAATAGGAATGAATCGCCGGACAAGGTAAAGCTCTAGCGAAAATTCCTCTATCCGGAAAAATAACAAGGAAAACGAACTACCTAGCAGGAGTGATCCATGGATATTTGCATATTTTCGCAAATTACCGGAATACCAAAGTTTTTATGCCGCTGTTTGAAGCATCCTCGGTTACTGCTATGTACATGGCTAAATTAGAACCCTAAAAGAAATTTGCTCTATTAGCACTTGTTTATACCTATTAAATCATTTAATATATTGATTGCGCTTTTTAATAATGGATCTGCAGGATCTCCAATTACTTTATTTCCAAGGAATATTTAAAAATGAAAATCTCTATAAATCTAAAATCAATGTAAACATAATTTAAAGTGTAAAATCAGAAGTATTAGTTCCGTTTATTTTTTGAATTAACAGTATAAACTGTTGCGCAAATTTCATTCTATCAGGTAAAAATATTTTAAGCTACGAGATGACAATAACAACGACAATTTCAAAGCCATTATTTCGAAAATCCAATTCCACAAATAGTTTTTTAAAACCATTACCCGTCTCATCGTCTGGTAAGTCCGCAATGATAATTTCAAAATATTTTTTTCTTCTGTCTTATTTTAATTGTAGATTTATTTGGGATATAAAACTGAATCCGGCTAAATAATCCAAGTTATACAAAAACTAAATCTGCGCTTTATATTACGCTGTAAAAGTGATAACAAGTTTATATAATTATAGCAACTAATTCCATTAAATAACTTTGTGCAAGTTCTTTTTTTTAAACAGCAGTCTATGAAAACAAATTCAGTAAACATGTTGCATTGCATGTAATTTGACCCATATCATAAGGTATCATTATCACTAGAAGAAAAATTATTATTATAAATTCGAGAACTTTCGTACTGATAATTTGAGATCTTAAAGATTACCTCTTTCACATGAGTTAATTCAATTCCCCGCATATACATATGCGCCACAAATACCATCCACAGCATTAGTGATTTTATTTTACACGTTTTTCAAATTATAATATCAAATTATTTCAAATGTTATGATTTATATAATAACTTCGATAAAAATCTTGAAGTTCTGATTTGTGCAATATTTATATTGAACATTCTTTATTATTAAATCATTAAAAACTTTCTAAATATTAAGATACATCTAACCTTCCTTCTCATTGTTTTCATCCAGAAAGTTTCTCCACTTTCAGGAACAATGGATGATAATTGTCGTAAAACACAAATGAAACATGGAAAATATATTATGAGATCTCGAACACCTGTAAATAGCCCATTCTTTTTTTCTTTTTTGTTTCATTTATACAAATAAATAAAGATAAAACTGGACATTACGTCAATTAAGTACAAATAAATAGCAAATTATCATGTCTTCATAATTTTTTTCCGATTCTTATAGATGATGTCTCATAATTGAGATGACCTTTCAAAAGTTTTATTGTACGCAATACAATGATTAACAGTAAGTGATTTGTACACCGATAAGAGAAATTGAAAAAAAAAAGAAACATAACACATATAGAAGCTGGATGCAGTATAATTTCAAGAAAACTTTTTTTCGGAAAATTATACGAATGCTTCGACTATTTTTAGATTATTGATCCAACAACTGGCCCATGTTTTAAAAGTCCCACTACAGCAACTAATTGTGAAGTCAACAAATGCCAAAATTCCAAGTATGTGCTCCTTATTCTTTTCCGAACTTCATTTTCCTATACAACAATATACCGTTCGCTAAAATTATCATTTTTGTTATAAATTATCACCATGTTTTTCTTACAGGCAACTCTCATCGCAGTCATCGCTACCTTCTCTACCAAAGCCTTTTAATCCCAACAAAATTATCGATGACTTCATGAATGACCGTTACAAAGTTTAACCTCAAACTTATATCGTTTATCTGAATAAGCTAAATAATGCTTTGAAATATTTTTTCCTTTTTTTTTCGTTTCCATTGATTATCTAATATACCATAAATCCTTGAATTAGATTATGTGAAAACAGGTTATCTCAGTTTCGCGGAGATGAAAAAAAGAAACCTCCCGAATACATATTTTTTCAGCAATATAGTGTACTGTTATACATTATTCAGCCTATTGTATGACTCAACATCAAACTTCTCACTAATTTCGAATAATAGAACGGTTTCAAATGAAAATGATTATATATATAGAACATGCGCAAATTGATGAAAATGCAAAATTCTTTGGAGGAAAATTATCAAAAAGGTAAAAAAAATATATATATATCATGAATGACCTGTTACGAATACGTTATACATATGCACTTGGTGCTCACAATCGGATTAGTTTAAATAACAGTCATGGCAAGCAATTCAAAAATATACATTTCCACAGTTTGTTCTACTGGAGAATGAAGATGACAGTAATGTTAAAACTGAGAATTTCCAAAAAGTCATATTGTAATAATGAACTGCCTATTTGTGTAAATGAAAGTCGTAATACTTCCTAGTTTTTCTGCAATTTCGTACAACGAGTTTCGATCGGTTTTTGTGGTTGTCACGACACCGCACAAAAATTCCCTGAGATACTGAGCAAAAAGGAAAAAAAATTAAAAAAACAAACAACCAGTTCTCAGCGAAGTTAGAAGGATGGTATTTATGGAAAACATTAATACAGTCAGTGCTGAAAATTTAAGTGACAAAGAGAAATGAGACTTATTCTTGTAACTCATGACTTCGTGTGTCTCTTTCGAAGACTTACATATGGAAATGTTTTCCGGTTCACAAAACATGTTACATTCAATATCCGAATAATTTCGGCAGCTTTAAACTCATTATTTCGCCCAAGCAACGAATAAACAAAACTTCTAAAACTTAACAAGATTTCAAAAACTTCAAAAAATAGATTGAATTTTCAAAATAGATTGAAGTTTCAGACGAAGACTATAAAATTCGAAAACGGTGAAAATGAAATTTTCCAGCTTCGATGCAAAAAAGTTAAATGAAATTTATAAATACAATATATCTATCTAAATCAGTGGTTCCTCTTGGCTAGGAACTACGCTAGCTTTTTTCTGTAGCGGGGATCAAAAAGTTCAAAAATAATCAGTGTTGCTAATTTGAAAATGAACTTTAATCAAAACGATGTATTAGTTTATCAAACATTGATAAGAGTCCCGTCTGTTTGCTAGCATCACTGTCCTAGCTAACCATATTTTAGTTCTTGCGGACTATGTACGCAGACCATCGGTTAGGAATCACTGATCGAAATGCTCCGAACAATTACATTAACAGTGTCTTGTAGGGAAATGCTATCTAAATGCTTTTGATATAAGTTTTCCAAGTAGAAATAATCACGATATTTATATGCACAATCTTTACAGAAAACGATGTGAAGTTACCTTACTTTCAAATTACTAGACCATTATTTATGAATCGGTAGTCGGATAGTCCAACTTATTTTTATGCGTTTTGGCAGTATGCAGAAAATAAGCGATTGTCTCGAAAGCGGGAGCATCGATTGTTTCAAAGTGTTCCAATATGCCTTCCAATAACTGCAATTAAACTAATTTTACGGTATTGATATTTCTGACCGGAAATTTCAATTTCTATAATTCTCCTGTCAAATACTCGTACATAAAGTTCTCGTATTCTGCCAAATAGCTGCAAGAGTACAATAAGTTAACCAAATCCTATAATTCCATTCTATAATTCATCAGCTAAACCATACCATATTAAAATGTCCGGAGATATAATAGCGATCAAATCATCACGAACAACAAATTTCACTGGTGCTTCAAGTACATTTAACCTGATTTCTGAGCACCTTCGGTTAAAAAAATCGCATTTCTAAGTTATGACGCAGAACGACTATCCAATCCTCACTTTCCTCTTAAGATTTTAAGAAATTTTAAATGTCTTATAGAAGAATGTAGTCTCAGATATATTAACTCTATAATAATGGAAAAAATATATGCTTCAAAAAGAAAAAATTCACGGAACACTTCCTAATCGTTATCGCACTCTCTAGCTGCCTTTATCAACATGCTCATCATGCAACATTTTACGTATCTAAGCAATAATGAACTGAATGACAATAGCCAAATGAATTTGAAGTGATTTAAATTTTAGGACCTGCTGTTTTGTATTGGTGCTTGAACGATGGGGAAGATTGAAATATTTTTTGTAACGTCGTAAAGTGGTGGCCGAAAGAGCATGAAAAGGTACTTGCAGAGGCTGAAAAAGCAATTTTAGAAAAATTCTAATCAGCCATCTTAAAGCCACTTTTACGAGCTTCCATTCCCCATTATATTAGAGAATTCCTATTCTTCATTGTGGCAAAAGGGACAACTTTTCAGGTCCCTCCATTAAGTCCCACAACATACTGGCACACAGAATTACATTCAATCTTAAACTTAGTTATGAGTGTTGTTCATCACTTATGACTCTTTCAATCAAGTGATTCATAGAGATAAACAATATTTTTCAGGGACAATTATGCTTTGATTTTTTTTCGCTCGAATAATAATAAACAAAAACTAAATCTCATCAGTGTTCTACCATTCAGTGCAGCTTGTTCCTTACTAACATCATCTTCACATGCCGAATATTACTTTATATTATTCCGAAAAAGTGCAGTGATCAAACTGCATTATTGAGCTTTTAGCTGGAGGATTCTCGATTTCAAAATTACATTGTAAAATACAAAAAGTTACAGCTGAAGTTGATGGTCCTTGTCCTGACGGTGATGCATTCACTTCCTCATCTTCTTTCATAGTATGAAAATTGGTGCTCATAAATGGCCAAATTCCAGCCAGTGCGCCGATGCTATAATGAATTCATAAAATTGCATATAATTTAAAAGGAAATTTATGAAAAAAACCGAATTGTTTTTTTTTAAAGAAATACATGAGATGTTTCAATAAAATCCTTCAAAGATTCACGAGCACACCTTGGAGTTTCATCATCGCTTGTTTCAGCATCACCACCATTTGCTCCTGGTCGTCCTTTCTGAAATATGAAAAGTTTTAACTCGGAACGGAAAAAGCTTAGAACATATATAGTTGTCATGGCCACCCAGCTTTCTCTGTCGTGTAAAATATACAAATGCAAACCTTCTTCTTTTTCTTCTTTTGCATTTCACGAGCAGCCATTAATTGTTCGTAATCTTTCATGTAACTCTGAAAAATGAGCATATTTGTGAGCTAATTTATGTAGTCTAAAACAGTGAAAAATATGAGGAGCTAGAAAGGAAGAAGCAACTCACTCTCGTCAATGGATCATTTTTGAAAGCTTGAAATTCATCCTCTGTAACTTCTACCGCCAAATATTTGGTAAGATCTCTTTCTTCATACTTCTCATCAGGTTTTAATTTTGATTCATGCATGATTACGCGAAAGTGGAATAGACATGTATACCAATGTCCTCTCTGTAAAACTCAGTGTTTAGTCGAAGATGATAACCCCTTCCGCTCATCATGTTACAAAGATATCAAGAAAATTTAAAATTAAGAGTTTAAAATTTTGAACAATACAAATCATAAAAAAGACGTTCTTTTAAACTTATTCATCCTCCAGCTTTGAAAATGCTTAAAGTAGATCACACATGTAGTTTACCTCAAACGGATACTATGCCCTGTTAATAAATATAGCAAATTTGAAGGAAAAAAACTCTTTAATAAATGATTTATAATATCATTTAAGAATAACTTAGAAGAAAATAAGCTGAAAATAATTACCCCTTTATTGTATGCAAATGGAAGATTCTTTTTCAATGCCATTTGCCGTAATTTGTTGCTAAACCAAATACCAAATGCTGGACGACCACATGCTATAGCTTTTCCACCTGTGAGAGTTGCCAAACAACAACATGCTTTCGCTTCCAGAGCAGCCTGATCAAGCTCAGACCAATTCATATCACCTGAAAAGACACAGTTTCATATCACCTGAAAAGACACAGTTTCATATCACCTGAAAAGACACAGTTTCAGATAAACTCAAGATGCTCGAATCATCATCTAGTAGCGCAATATGCATCAGAAATATGTTAAAGATTGTACGCATTGTAAAAAACATAGAAATATTGAACACGAGAACGAAACTGCCTAGCATAATTGTGAAAGACAGAAACATAAAGCCTTGATTCCTTGTTAGTTGAATGGATCTAGTTCTTCCCTGATTTGATAATCTTAAACGAAAAAGGAAAAAATCTCACCTGAAGATTCAGAGTCATCACTAGATGCTTCCATTGCTTCTTCTTCTGCAACATCTGATTCATCATCACGTAACTGCCGGTGCGTCATCTCGGTACTTGGAAGTTCAGGTCGACTTATACCACTCGTTCCTACCTCATCTAAAATTTTTTTCCCAGAATAGATATTTCTAAGAAAATGACACGAGTTTCAGACACATATCCTAACAATTATATTAATAGGTCGAAACCCCGCAACACCTATCTGTTACGTAATCCTTACTTCCATGATCAGTTGGACAGCATGCCATACCGTCCGTGAAATCAGAAAACTTATTACAAGAAACCATAAAGTTAACGTCAGATAAGCATTCTAAAAAATATTAAATGAAATATGTAAAAAAA